AAAGTATTTCTTGGGACTTTGCCGATCTCACGGCATTCCTTTGCCCAGGCATGTGCTCTTGAACTTCTGGAAGTAAATATACTTCCTTCGAAGCCAGAAAGAAGTGGATGTGCGTACGGACGCGATTAGAAAGGATCAATGAACAAAGGCGCTAAACTGTCAGTACAGGCAGTCTTGTGCAGTTGAAGTGCAGTTGAACGTGCAGCCGTTATACTGAAGTCAGTCGGGGCGTGTCAGCAGGGCGTGTACTGGAGCAGAGCCAGCCCCTTTCCCTCCTTTTATTGAACCCCCTAACTCGCAACAATCGATAACGCCGCGGGGAATCCACTGCACCCTCGCCGGGACGCCCCGACTGACTTCAGTGATAGCGACTGTACTGGTGCACCAGTTGATTCATAGTTTTGCAACCCTCATAGTTTTTTTTTGCTGCAACTCGCTCATCTCTACGTTGAACTGTCTAGGTGTTTACGACAAGCTGATTCTATTCTTGTGGTAGCAATGGGAAACAAAAAAGCTTCCAGTCAAACGTTGGTGAGTATTTCAAATTTCTATCCATTTGCTTCAAATGCTGTGCGAAGCTGTACAGCTGTCTTAATCGTATATCATATCAGATGCGCGAGCTGCTGAGCACAAACCAGGATGGTGTGCGTACGAACAAGGAATTAGTTCTACTTTGGCCTGAAAATACCGCCACTCCAACTGGTACTCATGTTTGGCTGAAGGATGTATACTATTCAGGTGCATCATGTTATCCAGTTTATGGCTCATAACTAGCCTGGGTTATTGCATTTCATGTGTCTCCTTTCGGAGGCTTGGTTCCCTTGAAAAGAGCGTTCGAGCAGCAATCCACACTGATCACAAGGTCGTGGGCGCCGTCTCGCCCTCCTTGTGGCTTCCAATTTGGTGCGCTCCTCCTGCCCAAGACTTTGAAGAGTATGGGCGCGTCAACAAGGAAGGTACAATTAGATTTTAATGTTGTCCCGCCCATGCAAACTAGCGTGGACAGTGCTCTTTCAAGCATTTTCCAGTTATGTTTTTACACTCTTGTCGCTGGAATCAGGGCTGTGCGGCCTGTAGTTGAGGCTGGATTTGTGCTGTATACGAGGGCACTATACCATTGTTATTTGAACGACTCCCCGATCGACTCCTGCCCTGAATAACCGATCTGAACCACCTAAGGATAGGTTGCCTTCTGGAACTATGGATCACACATGCTTTCAAATTTGTTTCGTTATCATAACAAGCCAGTTAGCTCTCCGGAAGATTATCACAAGAATTTGGTGCTCATGATGATAGGTTTTTGCCAAGGGGTGTCCCTAGAGTGCAGTCACGACGCTTGTGGACGAGTACTCTATCCGTAACAACACCAAAGTCGCCTCTTGTTTTGGGGGCCCATAGAGGTGAGAGGCTGCTCTGGTGGCGTATCGGATAGGGTTCTCCTACCAAAAGGTGATGGTCGGCGTTACAGTTCCAGCGGAACAGACTTTTAGCCATAAATCAGCCTTCTGTGGTTAGTGCTCTCGGTGGCTTTGTAGTTATGTCTTTGTGTAACCCGCGTACTTGTGCATCCCTTAGGGATTTGTCATTGCCAAACAATTGACCCATTTTCACGTTTATTTTTCAGTACCCATCCCAGTGTTGTCTCTTTAGGTCATCATCACATTCGAGCTCCAAAGCGAATGTTCCAGTGGACGTCAAAGAAGACACGCAAATCTTCCAGGGAAATGCTGCATCCAGTAAGATACTTCTCTTACTTTTATTTCCTTTTTTTCTCTTGAAATTAATTTCGTATCGATACCGTGTTAAGAGTAACGAGCAAGATATTATCGACTTCTACGAGAAGAATGTATTTTGGACTTTCGACTTCCGGTCAGATTTTGCCCGATTTGCTCGCATTCTCACGGGAAATGCGATAGACTGGCACCTCGGTCTGGGCGCGCAGTTACTCATTTTTGTTATTCTTTTCCGGCAGTATGCATTTTTCGATAGTATCTCAATTTCAACAGTGTTTCTCACGGCCCTCGCATGACATCGACCCCGAAGCTGCTTGCTAACGCTGCGTCCTCCAGAAGCGATGTCATTGCTTCAGCTTAGTGGCTCTCGCGCTCTCGCGAGAAAGCAGTCTGTCACTCCAGTGGATTTTCTTCTTACGGAAGCGTAGTCCCTGAAGGGACCGAGTTCTCGCTCTAAGGCTAAGCACAGCAATGGAGAGGGGCCATCAGATAGCCAGATGTCGTTTTCGGAGGCGGTTGTCGTGGTTCTCCACGCCCTCTCCTCAGCAAAAAAAAATTGAATTATTCTCTGAATAGTCCTTCTAGATCGTGGTTTGATAACTGTGGTTTGCTTTCAGAGGAGCTGCTCACGTTGGAATCTTTTGCAGAAGCTCCTACTGATTGAGCGTGGAATTCCTGTGGACATGTGGGTGGCGTACATCCATCGGCCGTTCTAGTCGAGCGCGAAGTCTATGCCTCTCACTCGACGAAAGAGTCGAAAGAACGTTAAAACTTGAGGGGGCAAATGGTTCGGTGTAAGTCTCGCGACGCTTTTTGTTATTTTAGATATTATTTGCTTTTTTGTACAACAGAAGTATCATAAGCCTGAATTTTTGCGTTTTCTGCATCGATACCTCTCACGTAAACATCACTTCTTTTAGGGTATGACAAGCTTATGGCGCAAAGTCCTCGATCTCACTTATGCTCACTCAGCAATGTTTACGGGTGCCCAGCTGAATAAATCACTGCAGGATCTTTTTGAGGATAAAGAAATCGAGAATCTGTGGATTCCATACTTCTGCATAAGCACTGATATAACGTAGGTTTTCTTTTTCATCTGGCACAAATCAGGTCAGCAGTCGGCTCTGCCGACCAAATTCACCCCATTCGAAGCGGATTATACACTAAACTGGCGCTGTTCGGTTTGGGAGGGACATTTTGCTTTCGCTAGTTTATTTTGCTACTTCCTGTTAAAGTACACGTCACGTCTTACCCGTGCTAACCTGTAGCCTTACACGCACGTCTTCCTTGGTGAGACCTGTAGCCTATCTCGAATGTGGTTGGAGCTCCTGCTACCACTCAGCTTTGTAGGAATTTACAGGGTCTCCATGGGGAGAGACGGTCATGGTCGATGGGAACAGGAACATGCCTCTTCCTGAGCCGAACTGCGCCTGCCAAGTTTCTTGAAAAAAGTATGACCTATATTTGAAGGACTTCCGAGCTGCGTGTGCATCGCACTGGTCCACTGTGGGCGTACTGTAGAGCGTCGATGTCGTTGGCCGGTTATCTTCCTCCAATGTGCGACCCACAAGACGGTCATCTGCTTCTTGATGGTGGATATGTCAACAATCTTCCAGCAGATGTGATGAGGTACTCCTTCAGTCTTTGTTTATATTTGTTTGTTTGTTTGTGTTTCAAGGTACTGGGTACGGCTTCTGAGGGCGGGCGGTTATTACCAGCGTCATTGGTGGAACAGCCGCGAGAGAACGTTTGGCCACACCCCACTAGCCCGTCCATTAAAAACACTGGAGGCATCCACCCGCCTCCAGCGATCGTGCCCGCTATTCTTGAGCTGTAAGCCGGTTACTTTATAAGATTTTCCTCCGTTCTAAGTATGGCCCCCTCACTCATAATCAAATCGGTTTGATAGGATAGGGTCAAAGCGTGTCTAACAATGGGCGCATGTTATTTTCAAGGCACTTTATCTTGTTGTTCAAAGTCGGGGCGGTGATAGGAGGGGCGGATTGAGCGCAGTGGTAGAAAACATCGTGGGTATGCCCATTCCATGCCCTACTGAAAATCGCCCCGAACTCATTGCGACGCTATCAACTGCCTAGTGGAGGAGGCGTTGGAGGGGGGAGGGGACGGGGTGCCAGAAGCTAAGAGGGGGCATCTCTCCTTGTCTTCATCTAAGACACCATGGTACGCCTCAAGCACATTGAGTGTTATGAGCACTATCAGCCCCCAGCTGTCGAGTTCGTGTCCCCCACCTAAAACGCACCAGGGGCAGTGTACGGGGCCGTCGGTAAAGCGGAATTCCTTGCTACGCGCCGTTTCGCAAACTCACGTTTTTACTAACACCGTCCGCGCGGTGCGGTCGCGTGCAGCTCTCTTGGCTTTTTGCCAAGTCCTGTAATTGCGCTTTGGAATACAGGAAAACGCCAATTTCCTTCATGCTGATAACATTTTAAGCGTGCCTGCCAAAATCAAGAACCGAAAATGCATGACGAGGGCCTAGACTCAAGAGCAACTGTGGTGCTTCTGCAATATCCCTCAGAGGCCGCGCATTCCCACAGAACATGACAATAAAAACGGACAACATGACAATAAAACATGACAATACAAGCAAAACGCAATTTCCTAACATTTGAGGTATTGCTCATGCTTCAAAGTCCGAATAGAGGTGATGAAGATGACAAAGGCTAGAAATGAAGAACAACGAATGAATAAAACAAAATTAAAAAAAAAACTAAGGAAACGCAATAAATAAAATCACCTGTGCATTTTTGCGATCCGGCTCGAATCCAGCTCTAAAGCTATAGAAATACTTTGAACTAACGAGTGGGACGCTTAGGCCGTTTTTATTGTCATGTTCTGTGGGAATGCGCGGCCTCTGAGGGATATTGCAGAAGCACCACAGTTGCTCTTGAGTTCTAGCCCTCGTCATCATCTTCGGTTCTTTAATTTTTGCAGCACCTAAAATGTTATCCGCATAAAGAAATTGCGTTGTACTTGTATTCCAAAGCGCAATTACAGGACTTGGGCAAAAGCCAAGAGAGCTGCACGCGACCGCGCCGCGCGAACGGTTAGTAAAAACGTGAAGTTTGCGAAACTGGCGGCCCGTTAGGAGCAAGGAATTACGACTTTCCCACGGCCCCGTACTCTGACCCCGTGCAGTTTTGGGCGGGGGGACCACGACACATCGACAGCTGGGGGGCTGATAGTCTCATACCCTCATGCGTACCATGTGTCTTTAACGGAAAGCGACAAAATAATGATTTTGTTAGATCCATGGGAGCGAAACGTGTGATCGCAGTCGATGTTGGTGCATCAGAAGAGACAAATCTCTACAACTATGGTGATTCGTTGAAACGGCTTGTGGGTACTGAGAAGGCGGACTCACATCCGTGGTCAGATCCTATACGGATCTTGAATATGGAAGAAATCCAGGCAAGTATTTTGAACATTTGAATGTTTTTTTTTCTTTGAAAATATTGGTGAGTAGATGATGATGCGCTGTTCAGACTCGATTAGCCTATGTGTCGTGCGTACGTCAGTTGGAGGTTGTGAAGAAAGCGCCTTACTGTAGCTATTTCCGGCCAGCTATCGAGCCATTCAAAACGCTGGAATTCAACAAATTCGATGAAATCTTTGTAAGTGGCTATCCAATGGGAAACAATTCTACTTTGCATAATACTATGGTTTTACTACTACTTTACTACTGACTTTTCTCCAATTTCTAAGTCCTTCAAGGCCCTCTTAAGTTTTCCACTTCGGCCCATTTGCCACGTTCCAGTAATGGGATATAGCTGGCTCGGCCACTCAAATTTATCTGGAAATATGTATTTAGTTGCGGTGAAGTTCTGTCATACTTTGTTGACCCAAGTGGTTCTGCCTATACATGAAGAGGCTAACCTAATTACATTTATACATTAAGGATTGATCTTTCTATTAGTGTCACTGGCTCGGCTCCTGCTCATCCTTATTCTGCATTATGGACAAGAATGTTATCCGCTACCTTCAGCACCGACCCCTTCAAGCGCTTCCTTAAACTATTTCTTCTACCACCCTGGCGCCAGCATGGCAGCTGTCGACGCCGAAATAATGGAGCTGCACAAGGACAATGTCTACAGTCATCAGACAATCTTCCACGACGCTAGCTCTTCGGAGCGGGAGCCTACGGTTCGAATAACGAATGAGCTTCGGGAGTACCTGTAAACCCAGCTCTAGATAGCGGTAGTCGGGAAACTACTGGATGAAGAAGCTGCCTCCTCGGTCAATCCGTACGCAAGGCAGCTACGAGATCTGAAGCGAATCGTCAAGCAGAGGGCAAAATCCATCGGCACAGTCCGTCTTCAACGTGCTGGTGCAGCACACCCCGTCAAAAAAAAGTTCGAGCCGTACTTCATGCAATAGAGCTGGATGGCTCTCCGCCTTGCGCCGGTGTATTCCTCTTTCTGACATTGCTCTTTCTGACTGCTAGTCGCCTCCTGCACTCAACCGTTATACAACCGAGAAAACCACCACGGTTTGAGAGCCCAAGTCAAAGTTGAGATGATGTCCAACTTTGCGTCGCGCCGGCGTGCATTGTTAAGCGATGGCATCCACGAACTGTCCAAAAACTGGCAAGGATCTCTCAATAACATTGCTGTATAATTTTGATCTTGTACGCCTCTCTGTAAAAAGAAAGTCTAATTTGAAAAAATGTGACAGAACTTTCCCGCCAACCTAATACTTGTCAAAGGATCAGGACGAACAGGTCCACCTATTGAAAAGAAGCAGAAAAAAGCGCTGGAAGCCCTCTGAATACGCTCTATTTTCAGTTGTTTCTAAAATTCGTACACGTTAGATAGCGTTCAGACTTCGCGACGGCAGCGCTTCGCGCGTTCGACGCGATGCGCATGCTTTCAACTGATTGATCGCGTAAGGCGCTTGACCGAAGCTGTCGTCTCGAAGTCTGAACGCTGCCTTAGGAGGGGCGAAATTATTCCGCGGGGAGGTGATGGACCTCAAAAGAACCAGGCAAAGGAGTCACGTGTTCATGGTGTTCATACAAGGACCGAGAATGCGCCCGTGGCCTGACGCTGCAAGTGACATGGGTCCTTACCGCCCTTGACCACACCCTCAATTAATATTATCGGTCGGTAAGCCAAATGCTCTCAAACCAGCCTTAAAGCACAGTTCGCGACCGCGAATCGCGGGAAACGGAACTCAAATAGGCACAAAAAAGTGCTAAGTATCTGATTAGCGGAGAAAAGCAGCAGAAAAAGCAGTCCGAAATGTTATAGAGAAAGATAACATAGTGGCTACTAGCTAGTAGCTAGCAGCCGGTGAGGGCTCGGCATGGGCCTAAGGGGTGTCCATGGGCCTAATTAGCCAGCTTCTAGCGGAGTTCTTGCCGTTTTTCACATTTTGAAAGTAGCGCAGCCTCAAAAATCGCCTTCCGGATCGTCCGACACATTTGAGAGGTCATAGCCTTATTTTATCGCGGAATGTGCCTTTAATCCCTATTGCCTATCAAGGAATTATTCCACTCGGTGCTTGAAACGTGATGTAGTCTCTAAGTGAAATGCATTGCAGTCTATTGGCTATGAATACGGGAAGGGTAAGATCGAATCGTTGATGGAAACCGATGAATTCAACTCATTGCTGATTGGTGCCAATTCTCAGAATCGACTGCATCGACAACTTAGTAAAACGAAGGTTCGTGAGTCAAAGATTCTTCAAACGACACAAAGCTGCGCTTTCCTGCTCTATTGCTGGAATGCGCGCGCTCTTCGAATGCTAAGTAAAAAACATTTGGACTGTTAGCCTGCGGTACGACTTTGTTGATCATTCCAAAGACTGATAAGAGTTGCGAACGCCGACAGTCAAACTGCTTGCAAAAACCAATTTTATTCCAACTGATATGTTATAATTTCATGGCAGGCACAGTCCACCGTTGATCGCATGGCGTCATTAATGCTACCGCCTGTCATTACTTCATTGGTACTTCCTATTCGTCTTTTCTAAAACGCCAAAGAGGAGGTACGTGCCAACGGGGATGGCACAAGCTGAACTCGGCTAAAACTGCATACGTCTTACATCATTCCAGTGTTGCTTGCAGAAAAGCATCGTGTTGAGTTCAGCTGTGAAATGATCTTTTCATTTGTTTTTCCAGCGCACACCCCTCATGGAGCGATCAACATCGTTCACCGATTTGGCAGCTGCTCTTTCGAAGATTCCAACAGTTCGCCCTGTGTTGCGACATTCGCTGAGTGCTTACGATCAGGTCGACGATGTGTTTGATGACCTTGACTTCTTTGATCGTGAGTTAAAACGCTTTTTCGTTTTTCCGTGCAGTAATCTATGTATAGGACCTCGCCCGAACCTCCGTCACTTCGGGAAGAGGCGGATCCATCGACATCCCCTGCGTAGCATGCTCCCCTTCGATTTCGTTTTGGTAAGGTAGCCTTTGTCGTGATCATGCAACGCAGTTCCTTGGCACGACGCCCACAGACGTACCTCCTGAAGTCTCATCTAGAGCACATCGTCCTGATGAGACGAAGTTCATGTTATGGTCCCCCACCAACATCTGTCAACCGGAGGGGGAGAGGAGATATTTCTGATGAACAGTCAGGCTGAGCAGAGTAGCTGAAGACCTCGTGGCGTGAGGGGGGGGGCATGTTTCCGTTTTCGCTACTTCTCTTCGGCGTGTTCATTGTTCTACAACAGTTGGCAAGTGATCCTTACAGTATTTTGCCTTATTGATCCTCATCATCACTTCGTAGCTTCACAGGATTTCACAACAACTCTCCACTTACACGTTGATGGGAAGTGGCGATAGTGGGGAATCTTCCTCCCTCCCCCAAGACGAACTGCACCGGGCTTGTTAGGAGCGGGTCAGCCCGGTATTGGAGTGGGTGAAAACAGCAACTTGCCTGCCGCCGTTCAAGTCAGTGTTTTATCCTGCCGTGACAGTCTTGTACCAATTTGGAGGCGGCGGAGGGATGGAAGGCCTGGAGGGGGTCTCCATGATTTGACTCGGGAACCGTGCTAATGAATGCAGGATGCACCACTTCTGCTTTAGTTTTGGTCTGGTTTCAGATTTCAGACACAGCAACTTTCATTGGTTTAGTCCGACCTTTACCCTTTTATATTACAGAGTCGGATGCTGATAACGAATTGTCGCAATCAGACTTCAACGACGCTTCAGAAGCATCGGATGCCGAAGCGGATTTGGTCAATCGGTACTCGACCTGCACACCGAGACCCTAAATTTCTTAGCACACCATTTGCCTGTGCTTGCCATAAGTTTTTCTCTTTCGTTTTTCTCAGAGTTTATCATGACATTTTGTTCCACGGGATATGTTCGAGCTTAGTTCTTATGTTCTCGTTGCCACTTGTCACTTTTGTTGGCAAGTTTGGGGGTCAGTCCCCGGTTATTATACGTGAAGCATGGAACTCAATTGTGATGTTTATCCACTTGATTAGTGCATTTCTTTCCTATTTCGCCATAAATTATAACCGGATAATTGTTAATTTGAAGAGTTTACTTGGTATTTGATTGAGTAGTATTCCGTGATAATATATTCATATAGGAAGCGCATATAGTCGTGTTTTGTTTTGAGATATCATAGAGTAACTGTTCGACTTATTCCCACCTGCCCACCACATTACCTTATACTCGAGTGTGGTTCTTTCCGTTCGAGAATTACTACAGAGTTGTGTAGATGTTATAGTTCGTTAGTTAGGCAGCGTTCAGACTTCGCGACGGCAGCGCTTCGGTCGCGCGATTCGACGATCGATGCGCATGCTTTCGACTGCATCGATCGCGTCGAACGCGCGACCGAAGCGCTGCCGTCGCGAAGTCTGAACGTTGCCTTATTTGTTGTAATCATACAGCCTAGTGAGGCCGTTTCACTAAGAAATCCCCAAGAAGATCTGCTGTTAAGATTGTGATGTGGGTAGAGGTAAATTGTGTTGTTTCGTTGATGTTCCACTCGAGTACATCAAATGTTGTGCTACTGTGTAGACTTTAATCGATGCATGTTCTCTCTGATAGATGATGCTGAAAGATCCTTCAATCCTCGTTCGTTCACTCTCTTGTCTTGTTTGTTGATCACATTTTTAGTTGTTCAATTGTTCGATCCGAGATTCAGTGAAAATAAACTGATTTCGATTTGAATTAGTCGGTGTTCTGCGGTGACCGTAGTCGTAGTCCAGTTAATCAGTTAATACTTTTCTGAAGGCAGTTACGCGACGGGGGAGGGGGAATGGGAACATTTTGCACTTCTGCTACTTCCCTACGACAGCTCGAGCCATCTAGAGAGCTAATCCACGAGCTTGCAAGAGCTGACAGGTTTTACCATGGTGGCTCGACTTGCTCCATTTTCACCAGAGTTCACAGGTTTCACTTAGGTGAAACTTGTAAGCCGAAACTAGTGAAGTACCGAAAAAGCAAAATG